CCCCTAGCCGCCAAGCTCCTTGCAGAACTCCCGGACGAAGCTCGGGTGGTGGCTGGACGCTTCCCCTTCCCCTCCTGGACCCCCACCAGCACCCTTGGACAGGGGCTGGAGAAAGTCTGGGCCTACGACATGAAGGAGGTGCGGCGAGCGGCGCAGAGGGAAGCCCGGTCTGACGGCAGCCTCGTTAAGCCTGGCATTGAGGGGCAGCAGCAGCAGGGGTCAGAGCCTCTCCAGCCCTTGGGCTCAGCTCAGGACAGCAGAGAGAGGGCTGCTCGGCCAGGCTTTTTCCCAGGCACTTCCAGGGTGGTGGTCCCTCCTTGTCTTCCAAGGAGCGGGCAGTTTTAGGGGAAGCAAGGGAGGGGAAAACCAGACCTAGCAATGCTGGAGTTATCACAGGATTTAAGGGCTAAATTTGTAGTGCCTCTTCCTGTATGTTTGCTACTTTATTTCTGGTTAATTTTTCAAAATAAACATTTGGATGGTTCTTTCCTCGAGACTTTTGCTTTGCCTTTGAGCCGCAGGGTGTTCTGGAGCCAGAGCAGCTGCTGTTCCCAGCCTCAGGCTTTGCTCTGCCGTGCCTTTGAAGGCAGCTCAGGAGGGAGTTTGTCCAGCTTCCCTCCCACTGAAGGATCAGTTTGGCCCTGCTCACCTTATATAGCATTCCCTTTTCCACTCAAACATAGAGGAAAAAATGTCTTTCCCACCATAAAAGAGCAGCTGATCTCCTTTGTCTAACCTCCTAGACCAAAATCTAGCTTGAATCAGCCCTGGCCTTATCTTTTAGAAGCTGAGAGGGGAGCAAAGGCAGGAGCAGAGTTACCCTTTGGACTCCAGTCTAGGTCTGACCCGGGAGAAATGTTATCGCAGGAATGGAAACCTGTCCCTGCAGCCCCACAGTAAAAAAGCTGCCTGGGAACCTGACCCCGTGTCCTGAGGCGTGATGTGCTTGGGGAACAGCAGAATTCCTACAGCTGAGGGGCCAGAGGATAGACGAGACGCAGTTGTCTTGTCTCATTTTAGTACTGTGAATTTGAGACGGAGAACACCCACGTGGTTTCCCTTGCTGTGCCTCTCAGCTCTCAGCCAGGGAAGGATACTTGCCCCAGCCAGTCCACACAACAGAAAGCTCCTTCCTTTTACATCCTGCTCTTTCCTACAATCGTGCTGCTCCTCAGAGCTGTGGTGGAGAGCTACAGTTCATGGCTGACAGTCCTTCTGGCTCTGGGCAGTGAGAGACTGTCGGCCGTCCCGGCACTGAGCACGCATGGCAGCTCGCTGCCAGCAAGCTTCCTCAACCGGAGGATCTCCTGCTTGTACCTGCAATGGGGAAGCAGCACCATCATTGCCTGCGTAGTCACAATCCCCAGCAATCCATGGAAATGTACGCTGTGCCTTGTGTTTGCTGTGTGCTAAGGACATGCCGTGTCAGGTAACGCAGAGCAGCCAGCCCAGACACTGAGCCATGCTGGGAACTGAGCCCTGGCAGAGACAAAACCACAGCCTTTTCCCGAGGAAGAGGTGTTTCTCGGCTCTGCCAGGGAACGGTACCACCAACAAGCCTGCGAGTCTGACCCAAGGTCGCAGCCGAGCTGGCTGGGGAGTTACGGCAGGCGCAGAGTTAGGCCACTGCTCCGACAGACGTGCCCTACTTCTCGCTCTTCCTTGCCCGAGCAGCTGTTGCCCCTGCTTCAGGGCACGATGAGCCAGCAAGAGAGGACCGTAGATCAGGGGCTGCTGCAAGGCTTGAGATCTTAGACAACCCCTCTCTTAGCTCCCTCCAAAGGATGGGTGAGCAGACAAGGGAAGGAGATGTGCGGCGGGGCAGGCCAGACGCTGTCCCCCCTGCCCTGAAGAAGGGCTGGTGGCAGCTGCCCGCACAGCTGGACATGCTGTGGGACACCAGGCAGGAAGGCAGCGGCGAGGTCAGGCACTGACAGCGTGGCAGGCACGGCAATGTCGATGGCAATTAGCCTGGGAGATAAACTTGGAGCACAAAGCAGAGAACGTGTGAAGGGGGATCCTACCATCTCACCTTGCAAGATGCTTATCTATGTACTCCTGCAGCTCGGACACCTGCTCTTCTGCCACGATCGCCCGAGTCAGCAGCTGGCTCTTCTCCTGCTCCAAATCCTCCTGGAGGGGCAAGGGAGCGTGGAAAAAACAAGGAGCTCAGTGAGATGGGAGTGAAGTTGCTCTGTCCCTCTGCCAGGCGGGACTGACCACTTCCCTATCACTCAGCTCTGGTACCACTTGGCATCAGGCTACAGAAGCAACTGAAAACTGATGAGCTCGGGGAAAGGAGCCTGGTGACGACAGCGCAGATTTCTGCAGGCACCACTGCTCCGGGGCATCGGCTGGGCAGACCAGGTAGCCTTCCCTGGGCAGAGTGCAGGCCTGGGGGCCAGGGCCACCCCCCGGCCAGGCAGCAACCCCTGCCTGCCAAGCCATCGTTAACTCCCCCCCGAGGCTCCAGAGACAACTGGCAGAGCGGTCGCCAGATTGGGCACTCGGACACAGAGAGCCTTCACACCTTTTCACCAGCAGTTTGTTGCTAAGGGAAATGACCTTCCCTTTCAGATAAAAAACCCCTTGGTTCTTGCACAGTGTGTCTGGGCAGTAGCTCATCGTCTTACCTGAGTTAACTGCACAGTCCCTGAGCCACTAGGAGGGTCTGAGGTGCTTGACCAAGCTCACCCCCGAGATGCACAGCAGAGCCAGGAGCAGGACCTGCTCCCAGTGCAGCGTTCCAGTACCTCAACCACAGCATCTCCCTTCTTTTGGCCGCAAAGATACACACAACTTAGGCATTTAGCTTTACGTGACCAGAGAAGGGTGGAGCGCTTACTCAGGTCGCTGTGGACAGAGGAAAGCGCGACATAGAAGCGGGCTGGTAGCACACCTAGAGCCTTGTCTACCACAGAAAGATGAACCTCTGCTCTGCTTGCGAAGCCCTCTCCCCACAGCTGGCAGTCAGGGTGGCAGGGATCCCAGCACCAACCCTTCTCCCCACTGCTGCCACCACTGCCGGACAGCAAACCCCACCTCAGCCAAGCCCGCTCCCAGCAAGCATCACCACGGTTTCATGGGTGCTGCAGAGCAGCGTTGCGGATGGGCCCCACTCCGGGCCGCCCCATTCCCGAGTGCACGGCAAATACCATTGCACTCAGGGGAAACCAGACTGGGAAGCCGATTCAGATTTAAACTAGCCTTGAATCAGGTCAAATAATAGTCCCAGTTTGTTACACAGATGCCCAAGTGCTTCTGCTGAAACAAGAGAGGCAGCAATAAAGTCCAGCAATGGGCAGCCGTAAGGGCTGCTCTCCTTTTAGTGGGAGGGAAAGTACAGCCTTGATACACCACCAGCCAGGGACCTGCTAGCGTCACTCGGTGGGCTGAGGCCAAAGCCACTGCAAGGCTCTGTGGAAAGCTTCCCCGCTCCAGCCTGGGGCAGCACATCTTCGACATGTGGGTAAGGGATAAGCTTTTACTCCGATGGGCTATTCCAGACCTCTACCTGGGTGGTGCGTGTGAACTCCCGGAGCTGCTTCCTGACTTCTGCCCAGCCCTCCTCATCCAGCTGCCTAGGAGAGAAAAGCAGATTTTTATCATGCCCAGATGTTCAAATCCAACCCATCCACAGATCACACAGTGCTATTCAGGGGCTGGCCACAACTTGTGTCCATCAGAACGCAAACCCCGGGGCTCTGAACCTTTTCTCTCTAATGCCCCAAACTTCTTCAGGGCATGCAGTGCCACCCCTGTGCCCATGCACGAGAGTCACAGCCCTTCTGCCAACCTGGGATTCCCCGCTGTGACACCTGGGTTTGTTCCAAGTTCACATCAACACTCATACATCAGAGGACTCTGTGCAGAAAGGGTCCTTAACCTGACACTGCCGGACTGAATTTGATGGAAATAGAGCGCGACCAATGCCAAATGCGGGCGCTTTTCACGTTTCAGAGCACGAACGCGCCCGTTCTGGTCGCCGAGCGCAATAGGTGAGCTGTCTGTGCAGCCCAGCTGTGGGAAAGTTCTTCCTATTCTGTCCCAGTCTGAATAAGCAAAATACAGGTCACATCTGATGCTCGGGGAATTTGGGTTGTATGCAGGGAGGAATGCATTGTGCTCAAGAGCGGCTCTGCTGCGACTGCCAGAGTTCCCTCTGGTGGCTGCAGACTCCCGGCCCAGCACACGGGAAATCATGGCTGAGATTTCATGGGAGAAAAAGCAGGGAGAACAAAGCTGAAGTGCTGTAGTAACAGCAGGCTTTGTGCCTCTAGCTAGAGGAACAAGGTAACAGCATGGAAAAACTCCTCAGTACACAGCAAACAACAAGTATCTGAAGTGTGTAGATTCTCCTGGCAGCTAGAAAAAAAAAAACCCGAAACACCTTAACAACAAGATGCATCACTAAAATTCAGGTTCTAGTCTTTCTGTGTCTTGCTCCTGTGGTGAGCCTGCCAAAATGAATGCATCTGTTCAAGGGCTACTACTACTTTTCAGCACGGAGAACATGGCAGAGCCTGGTTAAGGTTCAAAGTTTTCTCCGAGACACTCCTCTGGAGCCCAGTAGCTCAGGCACTGACAGACTCCTCGGTGCTGGCATCCAGTTAATGAAATACCTGATGTGTTTTCTCAGCTACCACATTTTAAAAGTCTGAAAAATCCTAGCTCAGATTTCTGGTACACTCTGTTCCACCTCTTCACAGCTATAGTTGATAAGAGTTTCAAGAGAATAACGAAGCAGGGGGAACAGACCCATCAAAAATGAGCAAATAAAGGGCATGTCGGGAAGCCAGGGAGGTACCCGTACAGGCTGCGCTGAGGGTTCCAGCCCAGATTCTGCGTTGGGAAGCAGGAGAAACAAAACCATCCCAAGCTGGTGGTGTTTCACTTGCCTTTCTCAGGTTGTGATCCGCCAAAGCACGCAGGCGTATGCTTAACTTCTGCTTCTGAAGAGATCGGTGGGACTAAAAATGTGATTAAATCAAACATGTACCTAAGAGCTTTCTTGGATTAAGGCCCAAATGACCAACTCATGTCACCACAGGAAACACTGCACTGAGGTGACAGCTGGCTTTTCTTCTGAGATGAGTCCCTATCAGCTCGCTTTCTCCCTATTTATTACCATTCCAAGTAAAGCAGAAAAGACTCCTCAACCCACACAGCAAGGAGAATTCATAATTACAAATATCCCGAGGAACAAACAGCACTTACTGCTCAGGAGACAGTGGAAAGCCAGAGGTTGCTTTCGGTCGTTCCTGAAGGCAAAGGAAGAACAGCATTAAACCATTACAGTCTCACCACAGTCTTCGCCACTTTGAAGAAAGTGGCACAATGTATCCTACCACTGCAGCAGCCACCAGTGCCCTGGCAAGGAAACGATGTGCAGGACAATCTTAAGATTTATGTCTCCCATACTCTGAATTTTTAAATAAATGTATCTCATGCAAATCAAGAGACATGTCTCTGCCCAGGCAGAACCAGTGGCAGGACATGGAGCTGACTGGCGTGTCTCTGAGTGTGGTCTCCTGCTCAGTTATCTATTCACACTGAGGCAAAGGCATTCGAGAACAGAAAGCCCCACCCTATCCTCCCTTACCTCTTCTTTTAGCAGCAAGTGAGTCTGCTGGCCTGGCAGCTCTCCCATAACATCTGCTACTCCTCAGCCCTCCCAGAGCTCACTGACCCCAATCTATGGGGCTGCCCAGCCTCCTGGATCTAACTTGTAACTCACCCCTACGCAGCGGGGTTGAAGCAATGAGGGGACTGCTTGGACATGCTGTCTCCTCCCAAAAGGCAAGCAGGCACTACCCCTGCTTGTGCCACAGGCACAGCAAACCCCTGGGGAACACCTAAGGAAGGGGCTGAGTCTACTGCTTGTGAGACTCCCCACCACCTCCCAGTTTCACTGCCGCAGAAAGCCAGCAGCCCAGCCACCACCTTCTGCAACTCATGTAGCTGCATCTCCAGTTTTGCTTTATTCTCCCGCAGCCGGTTTAGCTCCCGGGTTGTGTTTGTTAGCAGCTCTGGGTCTGTGATGGAAAAGTGGAGCTCCGCAGGGCCACAATCCATAGCGCTGCTGCCCAGGGACCGGATCCGCTCTCTCTGGAGCCTGCAACATGCCAGAGGAGTAGGGGTTAGTCCCTTGGTAGCTTTGGTTATGTAACAACGCAGAACATTTCTGCTGGTGCTGGAGGTACCATTCGCTTGGGACCTGCTGGCTTATGGCCACTGAGAGCCAATCCACCTGCAAAGGATCAGTGGGAGAGCCCAGAAGTATGCACGATATTCCTGGGAGTGTTTCCGAGGCGAGCTTGTCCTAGAGCTATTTGTGGCTTTTATGCCACAAGAATTTCTGCTGCTTCCCACAGCCCAAGCTGCTGAGAGAGCTGTGGAGCAGAGCCGAGAGTGCTGCAGGGACGGGCTGGGAGGCAGGAGTTATTTGTGGTACCTCTACATTTCCACACCATCCAACGTGGAATCCATCTCTCACCCTAAATTTTACACAGGAGAAACATGTGCAGAGCAGCTCCAGGGTGTCCAGAGCACCCTGACATGTAGCTGGAGACACCTTGCTCCTGGCTTATCGAGAGCAGGGAGATAAACATGCACTCCAGATCCTCTGCTCCACCTGGGAGCCCCATTTGCCCCCCTCCTCAGGGGTCTGGGTGCTCAGGGCACTTCCAGTTGGTCCCTGGCAATATGCTGAGGAGGCAGAGGTAGCCCAGACCCTGGCATAGCCCTACCCATAAGCAATCAGCAGGTTCTCATGCTTCTTGACCAAGTTCTTCATGCGTTTCTTGTAGCCACGTGCCGCTCCAGCTAGCTGCTCTTCCCGAGACTTGTAGGAAGCTCTGATATCCTTCAGCATGCTGTCCACAAAGCGTTTCATGGGAGCATGATCAGCTGGGGCTTTTCTAGGACCGTTGTTGGATTTGCTGTCCATGTAGTCCTTTAAACATACAGAGAAATAAGTCGAAGTAATCAAGTCATTCCCTAAGGCATGTAACCCATTTCCCATAGAGAAGGTCCAGGCAGATTTGTGCTAACAGCACAGAGAATAACACATATCTTCCATTTTCTAGGAGCAGGAAAGACTAATTAACGTCCATCACGGCCCTTCGAGACAGAGAAGGCCTCTGTACTGTATCAGTGACCCGTCTAGGGAAACATCAGTCAGCACCAGGAGTTACCATCTCTAGTCCTGTATTCTTTCCACCATGTCCCACCCTCTCTACTAGCTAGGAGACGCTTCAACATCGCTCTGTTGGAAATTAAACTATTCTTAACAGTAAAAATTGCTTTGCTTAGTCTCCTGATCCATCACCACATTGTGTTCTTTGGCACTAACCTTCTCCCAGCACAGAAACTCTTGCCAAAACATGCTTACTGCTACCTAGGGGAGAAGAAAGAAGTTTCTTCCCAGTCTCACTGCTCAGTATAATCAGCTATCCATGCCTGAAATGCCTGCCTTGTGCTGAGTCCTCACCACACTCTGGGAGCCCTACTCTACATCAAAGGCGCCTGTTCCGAGAGCGGGTCCCAGGCACTGGTGTTACATGCTCCATAGCCGACCACTAAGGCTGGCAGAGCTCCCTGCGGGGACAGTAGCGGAGTCACCATGGAGGTGGCAACAAAGCCAGAAGTGGCGTCGCCTGGCCTGTGGAGGGAAGTTGTCAGGGCAATGGAGATTAGAAGCCAACTGGAAATCAGCCATTGTAAATAAGAGGATCTTTCAATCCAAGTAATCTGATCAAGAAATAAACTCCCAACAGAAGCTCCCAGACCCTTTAGTGCGGCCATACAGGAAATCTGGGCGATGGGTGGGGCTGGCATCTCCTCTGCCAGGCCAAGCCGAGGGCACAGAGCCCCCTTCCAGCTGCAAGCAGGGCTCCCCAAGCCCCACTGCCAGCTCTACTCCACAGCCCAGCAAGGAGAGGAAACAGCAGCAGCCTGCAAGAAGTAGGCAGCCAGCATGGAGAGAGCTCCCCAGGCCAGAAGAGCCCCTGGGACTGGGGCTACCCACCGCCACGTCCTTGACGTACTGCGCGAGCCGGCAGCGATATTCCTCATTCAGCTCCTTCAGCCGGAGCTGCAGCTGGGAGTTCTCGGCCTCCACCTCTTGGAGCTGGCTCTGGGAGGTCAGCAGCACCTAGGCACAGCAAACACACTCGCTGCTGCCCTCGTCCTCCGGCCAAGCAAAGGGGCACTAAGAAGCTCCATAAGAGATGGGGGACTTCATTTCCAGATATTCAGCTTCACTAGAGCTGGGAAGGTCCTGTGTTTTCACAGGACCCCACTGGGAATATTTATAGTCTCTATTCCCCTGCTACCTTCTGTCATTTGCAATCCCCCATCCCCCTCTCAGCGATTTCACCAACGCTTTCTAAATATCAGCAAAGAGAATTCCTCCCACCACCTGTGGCAAGCAGCACCTTCCACCACGTGCATCGCACCCCTGGAGAAGGAAACTGCACAGGGAGGAGCACCTTGGTATGACAAACTCCCTGGAAAGAGAGATGCGTCGGAGTACCTCGATACAAGACATCCACTCCCTGCTAGCTCCTGGAGAAGCGCATGGCACCCAAGAGCAGCAGATGAGCAGGGGCAGTCCCAGAGCCCAGGTGCCAGCAGCTGGAAGGGAGCCTGCCCTTACCGCTGACTGCTCCACCAGCTTGTGCTGGGTGTCCCCAGTCGCTCCCTTCGCCTCCTGCAGCTCCTTCCCCATTGCGATCCTGGGCACACAGAAAGAAGCTGTGTTTATTTTAAACCCCTAAACTTCTCTGTAGGTCCAATACAGCCAGCTTAGAGACGGAAATCACTACGGGATGACAGAAATCTCTCGGCAGCAGCACCAGCCCCCACCAGCTGTGTGCCAACCGGCAGCCACAGAGCTCTCGCTACCAAAACTGAACATCCACCCCAGCCAGAGGGTCGAGTTCTGTAGCGTCCCTGCTGTGGCAGCCTTTGCCAGGACACTGACCCCATTCCAGCCTGTCGATGGAAGAACCGCTGTGGGGGGTAAGGGCCAGGGCTGGATTCACCTCTGGGCTGTCACACATCTGCCGTGTGTGTCACGGAAGGTGGATTTTCAGAGTGGCGGTACATAAACACCACCTGACTTTTAAGCAGACAGCTGACCCTCTTAAGAGCCTTGAAAAAATTAGGTTTTCTTTCAGGCCTCACTTCTTCCAAGGTTGAACTGTTGTTTCACCCCCTGTACTCCACCAAAGGCAGGCTGCCTCGTCTCCTGTGCCCAAGGATCAAATTCAGCTGCACCAAGCTCCACAAATGCCCAGCCAAACAGAAGGATATGCCCTCCAACACTCACACTCTCTCTTCCAGCTTCTGATGCTGCGAATCATAGGTTTTCTTCAGTTTTTCAAGCTCCACTTTTATGTGATCCTGGTTTCCAAGCAACTGAGGGACAAATGAAGATGAAGATGAGCCAGAGGGCTGAGAGAGGGATTCATGAACGGGGAAGAAGTGAGGAGAGCCTCCAGCTGAGCACAAGTCCAGCTGACCAGCGAAACCCTGGGGAAAGGACAGGTTTAACTGGGAGTGACCAGTGATCCGTAGCACACCAGAAGCGGCGTGTGCTCTGGAGACAGGGCACACGGAGGTGCACACATGGAGCTCCCCCAAGGGAGAGTCTGGCTCTGAGAATCAGATTCCCAGCAGGAGGTGGTGGTGGAGTCCAAGCTGGTTTTACACGGGCTGTCAATGACCCTGCATGGGAGGCAGGGACCATCTCTGTGTTCTCACTTTCGGGTGCTCTATCACTCCCATCTTTCTCAAGTATCCGCAAGAAGAATATAAATAAGCGTCCTCTGCACTTGTTGGCTTTTAAACTCCTGCCTCTGTTCACCCAGGGGCACTGACTGAGGGAACCACAGCTGCCCTCTCACAGCTTTTGCCTGCACAAGATCTGGAGTTATTCTAGTTTCAGTTTTCAACTGCACAGCTTAAAAAAAAACAAACTAAAATAAATAAAGGCACCAGCTCATCCACAAAATTCAAGTTAGCACCAGGATGTGCCAGCCACAGTCAGAATAAATTCCCCCTCTGCTTCCCCAAGGATCCAGGAACAGACCCCCACACACTTACGTTTCTGTCCAGCTTTTGCCGCTCATGTTCAGAGGCAACTACATCTTCTGGCTGGTTTTAGTAAGAGACAGAAGAAGGTGTCTGTTAGATTCCTGTTCTCCAAGGAGCTCAGCCTGGCAACAGGACAAAGAGGTCTTTACCTTCACCTTCCGAGCAGAGAGACAGTGCACCATTGCTCGCACCCTTTCCAGCTTGGCAGAGGATTCATCGGCCTTGGCGGGGGAGCGGTAGCCCTCTGTGCGAGGACAGGTGCTCCTGGCATTGGCCAGATTGAGCAGCTCTAGGCTGAGCTCTTCATTCTTCATGACCTGCCAGGTCAAACAAGAAGGACAGAGCTTCTGAAATCCTGCCTCACTGACTCCACACGCTGCCTGTTCAGCACATGCCCGCTGCTCTTGGTGCACAAGACAGGCACTCACATCCCCTCCTGAAAGCAAGTTTTATTTTTAGTTCTTTCTCATATGCCCAAAGATATCAGCAATTTTCTGATTCTCATGGAAATGCAGGGTAAGTATCATCGGCAAGCATCAGGATTATTCACATGTAAAGTTACTCCCTCCGCCGTCTCGCTCTCACGTTCACATACAGACGCCAGTGCCAGCCCAGCCCTGGGCACAGCTCTGCCACCATCCCTCCATTATGTCCTCCAGCCTCACTCCTCACCCTAACCCTGGACCCTCCACACAGCTTCCCAACACTTCAGGCATGTCTTGCCCCACGCAATGGCGTTGAACAGTGCTGGACTCTGTAAGGTAAGAGAAGGGCCAAATCTCCATCCATCTAGGCTGACACCACCCAGCTAATTCCGGTTTTGTTTGAATGCATCCCTCCAGCAGCAGCCAGCCCACAGCACCGTGTAGGCAGCGAGATTCAAAGCTGGTGTGAAGTGACACGTTTCCAAAAGATAAAGAGGCTCTGAATGAGAAAGGCCCTGTTACAGGTGATCTGGAAGGAACACTGGGGGAATTCATGTCTCACGGGAGGGTTTCTATGTAGATAACAAAGCTTTGATGGGGTTTATGACTGGGGACAAGCTTGAGTAATTGTTACCATGGCAGTGAATCGGGAGGATGGGAGGCAGAGGTCATCTGAGTCATCCGTGGAGAGAATAGCTTATCAAAAGATAGCACAGGGTGGGCTGAGGGAGAGAGGAGAGGAGAAAAGAGCCTGACAAAGAGGTGAGATATACAGCTGTGAAAACTGACAGCTACGCAGAGACGGGCTGCTTGTTCTCCAACCGAAAGCGATCCATCTGCAGCTGTCAGCCCTGACAATTTCATCAGAGGGGGTCACACAAGCAGAAGTACCAGCCTAGCGAAAGAAAGAGGCAGTTCCAGGTTTGCCATGGGCTTCACTGCCTTCCCTGCGCTCCCAAGCCTGGCCCAGCTCCAGGGAAACCCCCAGCGTGGAATAAGTTCGCAGCCATTTGGGTTCCCTCCGATGGCCTCGCTTTGTACCGCTGCCACAGACCGCGTAAGCCTGCCGAACAAAAGAGGAGGAGGAAACGGAGGGTTGAGAAAAGGTCAGAGTCTTGAAAAGGAAGAATTTACAGCGAGTTAGAAAACAGGCGCAAAGTGGCTGGCATCTTCTGGAAGGCACTTCCCCAGGGACAGGCAAGGCCAGCTCCGCTGCGCTCTTTTGCCTGGGACAGACACAGGACGATGTGTGAATTGAAGCGTACAATGGGGGCTGCGACAATTCAGAGGCTTTAACTGTTCCCGTATGAGGGACCGTGAATGAGCTCCCCGAGCTGCTTCTGCGCCAAGCAGCCATGACAACATATTGGCAAGGTCACAAGTAGCACTTGTAATTGGGAATGTGTAAAAGGTTCATTGTCTCCCCAGAAGAGCGCTGGGGAAGGGGAGGGGGCAGAACCGCAGGCTGCTTTTCCCATGTCCTTTGGGAAAGTCCACACTGGGAAAATAATGAGCAAGAGGCCCATGCTGCGACAAGTCACAGCCTGCCAAGTTGGAGCCTCTTTTGCTTCAGGCAAGGATATTTGGTAGTCTGAGCCAAGAAACTGGGGTAAAATCCTCATCTTATGAATTACAACCAAGGATTTCACCTTTGGCTTCTGGACCCTGCTCCACCACTTCTTCAGGATGCTATCCAGGCACATGACTGAATCCATGTGCTTTCACTCCCTGAAAGATTCCAGGATCCGTCTAAAAACAGGGTGTTATTACCACCAACCTGTTAAATCCATCATTTAGAGATGTGAGCTACCTGAAAATCCAATTTTTGACTAACATATTGCACCCCCTTGGGGACAAGAAGCAATCGCGACTGCTGAACGCCGAGCTATTCCTCCGCAGCCCGGTGGTACCATGTCTCAGCAGCATGCTGCCTTGCTGACAGTCAGCTGCACACGCTCTGCCTCGTGCTCTGGCAGGACGACAGGGTGGGTTCACACCCCTGCAAGCAGCTGAGCTTGCCTCCTCATGAGAAATTTCCATTTTTCAGTTTACAGGAGACAAACGGTAGCTTCACAAGAGTCACTCACTCACTTCTTTGCAATGGGATGATCACGACCTCGTACACTCCTCTACCAGAGCTCTGCAGACCAATGCTCACCATGAAGACAGACTGGACACTGCCTAAACCACCATGCCTGCTCCCAGCCCCACATCTTCCCATCACAGCTCTGCACAGGGCTGGCATGGTAAGGCAGGTCATTTGGCTGCACCAGCTAAACTATCTGCCAGGGGAGGGAGGCTGCAGGGTGTCAGTCATCTGATCCAATTCAAAAAGAAGGAGAGGTGGGAGGGGGGAAGAGGGAGGAAGAGAGGAAAGTCTATTGGACTAGCTATTCTTGCCTAAGAAATACACAAATCTGGCTCCAAAAGACTTCAGTGAATAATTGCTGAGCCAAGAGTCACCAGGAAATTTGCTATATTTTAAGAGACAATCAGAAACTTGCTTATGTTCGGTGTTTTTATAAACTTGCCGACCTCAAAAACTGTCAGGCCCCTTCCCGCCACCATATGAAATGAGAACGACCACAATCAGTTCACATGCAGCCTGCGCAAGCCATGCAGAATAAAAGGGAGACAAAGCGTGCTCGCAGCCAAGAGGGACCTGCGACGTGCACTCAGACCAGCCCTGCAGTGACCTCCTCGTTATCGCTAGTGTTGGCAATCTCAGGTGGCACGAAAAGAAAAAGACTCTGGTAGAATCTTTCTGACTTAGAAGAGCATGGCACGCAGGTCAGCGTGGGCTCAGCACCATCCCTGCTGAGCAGAGCAGGTCCTGCAAGCCCTGCTAGAAGGTGACCATGTTACATGAAATCCCTGGGTCCTGAAAACAAAACCACACCCAAGCTACACTGTCCAACAGTTGGCAAACCTTACTGGACCTGAGCTGTGATGTGGATGCGCAACCCAAAGCCAGCCAAGCTGTCTGTAGATCAGGTAATGGCGAGATGAAGTTAAGAACAGCAGAGCTAACACCGCAGCCTGTCTCACCTCCTGCTCCAGTTCTTTGCCCAGGGCCAGGTAATTGCTTTTCAAAATGTTGCACTCATCCGCCAGCTCCTTCCGACTGATCTCCAGAGCATGCAGGTGCTCCCGTAAGGCATCCCGCTCCCCAGTGACCTTCTCACTGCAGTGCTCCAGATCCAGCACACGATTCTCCAGGGCCAGGATCTGCAGTGAGGAAGCAGCAGAATTAGACTGTGGCAGAGACCAGCAGCAATCACAGGGCATTTATTTGGCCAAACAGGTTCTGGCATGCTACAACTTAGAGAGATGAGTTTCACAGGAGTTTTGTGGTATCTGGGGCGTGGGGGGGATTCATTGCTTTAAGTAAAGCCAGGAGAATACACCAAGCAAAGCAAAGATGGATACATAATGAACTGTGGTTCTGGATAAAGGCAGTGGCAGAGCTGAATCAACTCTGCTTCAGACTTCTGCATACCATGTTTTTCAGTTCAAAGTTCTCCGTCTCATACTGCTCCTTCATTTTGTTTGTCTCGATCTGGAGATCAATGAGGTCTTTGGAAATCTAGGAGAGAGAAAGGACATTCTAAAGGTCATGGACCAATTCTGAGGCCAACATACTGTTTCAACAGGTCACACTGGGGAATCCGAGCACAACACACCCCACATGCCCCCCCCCCCCCCCAAAACCGCCCCACACCCTCCCACCCCTGATCTCCTTACCTTCAGTTTCTCCTCTTCACTGAAGACCATTCTGGCTGAGAAATCTGTTTCAGAGCCAGCCAGCTTCCCCATCCTCTCCTGCAGGTTTCCGAGCCCGTGCAGCCTCTCATTCCTGTCCTGCAGCTGCACCTAGAGACACACAACAGCTCCGGCAGCTAGTGCCAGCCAGCGGAGCCCTCCTCTCACCTATGCTATGCTCCCACCACGGTGCTGGTGGAAGGGAGGAGCACAGCACATCCAGCTTTTCAGAGCTTGCACAGATTGTCAATAGGATTTTCAGCTGCTGTTTTCCTCCTGCCGTTAGGATTTCATTTGCAGAGTGCTGCTTCCAGGACCCAGGAAGGGGGCTGCAGAACTTCACATGTATATTTGCGCTAGCAAGATGCTGCATATGCTCTGTCAGAGTACTTACGTGCTCATTCTCTGCAGTGCTTCCAAAATCCATGTGCTCGGAGGCTAAGTGCTTGGAGGCCAAGATATTTGCACAGTTTCAGTCTGTGCAAAAAAAGAGCAGAGGAAGGATCTAAGAATCTCTATGGCAGTAACTATTCTCTCGAGGTAGGGCACAAGCAATGTTGCTAACAACTTTGGTTACCAGCTGGTGTGGCATCCACGCTGATTTTAAGGTGGAGCCAATTATCACAGCCACCCCAGGAAACGATGCTTGTCAGGTTTCTGTATTCCTAGGACAGCACACAGCAGGTACTGAAACGAGAGGTTTAGCAGACACCCCCAGTGAAGGAAGATTTCCAGCCAGGAGGTACCACTCTGTCTGTATCACGTACCTCTCACAAAACCCAGCTGTAGGGATGTCCTCCATCTCTGTTACAGGGATCTTACAGGGACAATTTAAGATCTGATTAACCCACTAATTAATCCATTAAGCCAATCATTTGCTCCAAGACCCTCCAGTAACAGCTAACGTCAACTTCCTTCCAGGCAATTTTCTCTTGCCCTCCACAGTCCTTATATCTCCTGTGCCAATGAGCCACCCAAAGGCAGCGGGACCTTGGAGCTCTGACCAAGCTCCCACTGGTGACAGGAAAGACCTTCCCCAATTTATCTCTAGGCTTCAGAGTCGCTATGCAGAAAAATAGAAGTTTTAAAGCAAAGCACACACTGAAACAAACTCTGATTAGCCCAGACAGTGCTAAGTCTGGATCATGCTGGTCTACACGCTGCCGCTGACTCTGAACGGAGACCATCCAGGCCTGAACAGGACCACTCCCAAGTGTGTGAAAAGCTAAATGTAGTTGAACAGAGTCTCCAATGTAAGAGCAAGGGTAACGGAGAGTGCAAGACATGGTGGATAAGGCTGGAAGACCTTGGTGAACGGCAGTCATACGGTAAAACAAATGCCAGTTCTTAATCTCCTCCTTTCAGGCTTATTATCACTGCTATTTCTGTAGAGTGGGTGAGTTTAGGTAAGGACTTGTCTCTTGCAGAAGAAAAGCTTTGACAATATAACGTTCAAAAAGAGCATAGCTCTGAATAACTTCTTAGTATCTGTCAAAGATACAAGAGTGAAAGAGGAAGAGGAGCCTTCTTGATAGAAGCTCCATGCTGAGCAGTAGCTCCTCACCAGTGGCAGCTGGTCCAGGCTGTTGGAGAAGATCCCTTAGCCTCTCGGCATGGATTTCACGAATGGCCATGGAATTGAGAACCAGGGGCTGAGCTCTTTCGGGGCTCGGGGAAGAAGCAGCTAATGAAACATGCAATTATGTCTTATTTTTCTGCAACAGATCTTAACAGACCTGAAGTAATTTTATTAAGGTAATGAAAGTGCTGATGAGAATTCAGTCTCTTCACACCCACTGCCGAGCAGAAAGCCAAATTCACACACCGCCCACAGCACTGGGGTCTCGGAAGTCTCCAGAGGGTGCTTCGGCACACAAAGGAGCCGAGCCGCAGCTCCGCTCCCCAGGCGCACGCCGTCTTTTGCCAGCTCTCAGCCCTGCGAGGACAGGCACTGGCAGCCCATGCCAGCCCAGGGACGTGCGCTGGCTGGCTCATGCTGCTGCCCCACGCAGCACCTGCGCCCTGAGACGCCCGATTCAGGCAGGTGAGTATCCCACCCCACCACGGCAGCAAAGCGGGGTGCTCCCTGAGACACAGGGGTGCCTGCTTCACCTGGCAGACAGCAGTATAAGCATAATTAACATATGCATATACGCTATTATTTATGTTCCTGCAGTGCCTGGGAGCTGAAGGCAAAACCACCTTTGTGGCAGGGGCCCCACCAGCCACAGAAATGAGGGCAACTGCTTTTCCCGTGGTTTGTAATGACAAAGCAAATTTTGTCCTGGCAGACACCACAAATAGCAGAATTGGGCAGAGGAATGAGGTTCTAGGGTGACTTCAACCACCCTGACATCAGCTGGGAAGACCATACAGCTAGGCAGGCGCAATCCAGGAGGTTCCTACAGAGCATCGATGATAACTTTCTGATGCAAGTGGTGGAGGAACCAACAAGGAAAGGCGCGCTGCTGGACCTCGTGTTAACAAACAAGGAGGGACTGGTGGAGGACGTGAAGGTTGGAGGTAGACTCGGCTGCAGTGACCATGAAATGGTCGAGTTCAGGATCCTGCATGGAGGAAGCAGGGCGATAAGCAGGATCAAAACCCTGGACCTCAGGAGGGCTGACTTTGCCCTCTTCAAGGAGCTACTGGGAGGAATCCCGTGGGCCAGGGCTCTCAAAGGCAGGGGGGTCCATGAGTGCTGGTCGCTCTTTAAACAACACTTCTTCCATGCACAGGAGCAATGCATCCCCCTGAGAAAGAAATTTAGCAAAGGAGGAAGGAGACCTGCATGGTTAAACAAGGAGCTTCTAGCGGAGATCAGGCAGAAGAGAAAGGTCCATGGAATGTGGAAAGAGGGACAGGCCACTTGGGAAGAGTACAGAAACGTAGTGAGAGCATGCAGGGATGCGACGAGGAAGGCCAAGGCTCACCTGGAATTGAAGCTGGCAAGGGATGTCAAAAACAACAAGAAGGGCTTCTTCAACTACATCAGCAGCAAAAGGAAGGCTAGGGACAACGTGGGGCCGCTGCTGAATGAGGCGGGTGTCCTGGTGACGGAGGATGCGGAGAAGGCAGAGCTAATGAATGCCTTCTTTGCTTCAGTCTTCAGTGCTAAGACTGGCCCTCAGGAATCCCAGGCCCCGGAGGTAAGAGAGGAAGCCTACAGAGAGGACGACTTTCCCTTGGTCGAGGAGGACTGTGTGAGGGATCGCTTAAGCGATCTGGATGTCCACAAATCCATGGGCCCCGATGGAATGCACCCACGAGTGCTGAGGGAGCTGGCGGATGTCATTGCTGAGCCACTCTCCATCATCTTTGAGAGGTCCTGGAGGACAGGAGAGGTGCCCGAGGACTGGAGAAAGGCCAATGTCACTCCAATCTTCAAAAAGGGCAAGAAGGAGGACCCAGGGAACTACAGGCCGGTCAGCCTCACCTCCATCCCGGGAAAGGTGATGGAGCAGCTTATCCTGGAGGCCATCATCAAGCAAGTGGAAGAAAAGAAGGTTATCAGGAGTAGTCAGCATGGATTCACCAAAGCGAAATCATGCCTGACCAATCTGATAGCTTTCTACGATGACATGACTGGCTGGGTAGACGAAGGGAGAGCTGTGGATGTTATCTACCTTGACTTCAGCAAGGCTTTCGACACAGTCTCCCATGATATCCTCCTGGGGAAGCTGAGGAAGTGTGGGCTGGATGAGTGGTCGGTGAAGTGGATAGAGAACTGGCTGAATGGCAGAACTCAGAGGGTTGTCATCAGCGGCGCTGAGTCTAGTTGGAGGCTGGTGACAAGTGGTGTCCCTCAGGGGTCAGTACTGGGCCCAGTCTTGTTTAACTTCTTCATCAACGACCTGGATGAAGAGTTAGAATGTACCCTCAGCAAGTTTGCTGACGACACCAAACTGGGAGGTGTGGTAGATACACCAGAAGGCTGTGCTGCCATTCAGCGTGACCTGGATAGGCTGGAAAGCTGGGCAGAGAGGAACCTGATGAGGTTCAACAAGGGCAAGTGCAGGGTCCTGCACCTGGGGAGGAACAACCTCATGCACCAGTACAGGCTTGGGGTGGACCTGCTGGAGAGCAGAGAGGGACCTGGGTGTCCTGGTGGACGACAGGTTAACTATGAGCCAGCAGTGTGCCCTGGCTGCCAAGAAGGCCAATGGGATCCTGGGGTGCATCAAGAAGAGTGTGGCCAGCAGGACAAGGGAGGTTCTCCTTCCCCTCTACACTGCCCTGGTGAGGCCTCATCTGGAGTACTGTGTCCAGTTCTGGGCTCCCCAGTTCAAGAAGGATGAAGAGCTACTGGAGAGAGTCCAGCGGAGGGCTACAAGGATGGTGAGGGGACTGGAGCATCTCCACTACGAGGAGAGGTTGAGGGAACTGGGCTTGTTCAGCCTGAAGAAGAGAAGGCTGCGAGGGGACCTTATAAATGCCTACAAATATCTGAAGGGTGGGTGTCAGGAGGATGGGGCCAAGCTCTTTTCAGTGGTGCCCAGTGACAGGACAAGGGGCAATGGGCACAAACTGAGGCACAGGAAGTTCCGTCTGAACATGAGGAAGAACTTCTTCCCTCTGAGGGTGACGGAGCACTGGAACAGGCTGCCCAGGGAGGTTGTGGAGTCTCCTTCTCTGGAGATATTCAAGACCCGCCTGGACAAGATCCTGTGCAGCCTACTGGCTTCGGCAGGAGGGTTGGACTAGATGACCCACAGAGGTCCCTTCCAACCCCATCCATTCTGTGATTCTGTGTGATTCTGTGACTTTGCAACCCAAAGTCACCTTCACCGCTCTAGAGCAAAACCAAACAACAGTTCTATTTCCTCAACCCCACTAAGAGCTAAAATGCCAACTTTGTGCTGAGTTTTTCCTTTCCCTCTTCTTGCCAAAGACGCTTTCAAGCCAGCTGACGTGGTGGCTGGGTCACCAGCGAGCTCCGAGGTCCGAAACTCTCACCTGGGACGCAGCTCTAAGATGTGAAAACACTCCCCAAACCCACAGCAGCTGAGGAGGAAACCAGAGGCAGATTTCCAGCACGCAGGCCGCCAGGCCAATGCCCGTTGTTTGTTTTCACCCCTCCTGCAGCACCAGCCAGCTCTGGGCAGGGCCGCACGCCTCACCCTGCCCGGCCCTCGTGGGGAGCAGAGGGA